ATGTATGGCTGGCAGAATAATTTAGCCGTTAACCCCTTCGCGGGCAAGCGTAAAAATATTTCGAAATTCAAGTGTCAGAAACTGGTACAACAAAGTATGAACAATTATAAGATATATTTACGCGTGTGTATTTTGCCAAATTTCACATATTGAAGTAGTTATTTTCTCAGTTGAAGAATCTATTAACTACGGTCATTACTCAGATACAAATTTAGCTAAATTAAAAATTTACCCATTCGAATATAAAGAGTAACTTCCTAACTTCAATTTAATTCGATTTCATTTCCTTATATTAACTAACCAATTGAAAAGATATTTTTAGTTCCGTTTTTTGAAAAATGCGGAAAGCGTAAATTTCTTAGTCCGAGAGGAAGACTTTCATTTAAATGCTCATACTTTAATTATTGGGCACGATAGGAGAGATGCTATGGACGGAAAAATGGTCAGCTGATTGATTATTGGCTGAGGCATCATAACGTAGCCTGAAACAAAACGGGGGCCAAAATGGGTCTTTTGGGAGATATGAAGCGACCATATTAGGTCATTTACCAGCGAAAGGGTTCAGCATTTTTTAACGTGTTTTAACGTGTAGTGTATCGAATATATATACATTCGGTACACAAGTAATAGCGCCTAACACGGACCGTATATACAAGATCAAATTCCGTAATAGCTCCTGGGCAAGTCAGTGAAGCAATGTTTACATGTGCTTGTACACGATGCTATTTATGGATTGTGGCCGCAAATTCACGAAGCGAGTATTGGCGGCCACAACTAGTGATCGGTCAGATAACCTATACACGAAGCCATCCATGGATATTATCAACTGTGGCCGCCAGTGTGTCAATAGAGGCAGCAGACAGACTAGAGAGGCAGCAGATTACAATTCTTCTATATAGCAGGCAATGGAATATCACGATTAATTTCTCAAGATTACAAACCAATCATTACTGGATTACAGCAATACTTAAAAATCGGTTCTATACTAGTTGACAATGATTAGAATTGACGAAGTAAAAATTCAATATTCATCTTGTAAAAAATTGTATAACCGTCTATGGTTAATTATTATATGAAATAAAAACGAATAAAAAAAATATTAATAAGCTTTCGTCGGGTTTATATTGACTTCAGACGGAGTTAAATTCAAGCAAACCGTTAGTCCATTACTAAATAGAAATCTTAGTTCTCTTTATTCCCAGCCACTCAGGCGGCCGTCAATTGGTCACGTGACCAGCTACTAACCGCTCAACGGCCACTAAAATTAAGATACGTTTGATTTTAGTGGATGCCACTTGCTACTAGGCACTAGCTCCTGACGCAGCCAATAGTCCGATGAATAGTAGTGTTAGTAATGACAAATCATAGCGGCTGCTTCAACCGGCCTCGTGTAAACGCACTATTTGAGTCAGCCGCTCAGTGGAGTGTGGGCGGGCTATTTCTGGCCTGAACAAATTTGCTCTTATTTACAAGATGGGCATTAGAGCTCTCATTATACATAGTAAAATACTTGCAATGTATAGATAAGCAAAAATTTTCAGTTATGTCTGAAAAAATTCGTTAATTCAAAATAGGAATAACTGATATGTCTCGTTAATAAGATACTCGTATAAAAAATATAGGTCGAGAAATTTTAGAACTCCTATTTTCTATGGAACGTCTTGTCTTGTCCTGGATTTTGAAATCGTAAACCTTTTTTCATCACTAATCGCATTTAGGATCGTCGCATTTCATGAAGAAATAACGAAGCATAGATGCTTAAAAGATAGGTACGGATGGAATTATTTACCCTAAAAAATATAACTCAGTACTCACTGCTGTGAGTGACAGAGAGCGCATTTTCTCGTCGACGAAAACTTGAGGTCACGGACGGACGGGCAGACGAACAGACAGAGGGACGGACATGACGAGCACAATAGGGCATTTTTTCCATAAATGAGAAAATGCGCTAAAAACCTTTTTTTTTTTCTTTTGCGGTTCAGTTTGGTTAAAAAATCTGTACTAGCATTAATGTGATCATACATTGTATTGCGAAAGCATCCTATGCATGGAGCGAATAGTGACTGGCGGGGTATATAAATATACATCATTCAGAGCCGCTCACTAAATATTTATTATGTAATTTTATATGCGTCCAGCAAATAGAGCAAGTATTCCTTCATAAACGCAAACTTTATATTCAATAATTTGGCTAGACTACACCTGTCGGGCGTTTCTTTGTGCACAATCACTACAATGCTGTTGTATATTTATATGATAGTGATTCCGTATTTATTGGCTAGTTTGGAAATAGTGCTGTCCTCTAAAAAAAATCTCAGTCTTTCCGAAATAACTAAGGGAAATGTCAACATATAACGTTGAAATTTTCAACAAAACATAAACGTATGACTACGGCACATGCATAAAAAATTCAGACTTGGAAAGTATGTCATTTTCAACTAGCCAGCAAAATTATTCGAAATTAAGAAAATAATATTTTTATTTTATTTCAAAAAGAGTACAGTATGCGAATAAGATTTACTCAAGAGGTTGAAAAGGATGTGAAAGCTTTTAAGAATACACAAAGGCTTTTCCAGGCGCATATTCTCATCGTCGACCTCATAACTGTACTCCAAGTCTTATTGAAATTGCCATGTCATTATCATTAAACGTCGACACTATAAATCACGTAAGTTCACTGATGAGGTTCACAATGTATTTACATGTGTAACGCCAAAAATTTA